ATATAAACGAATCTGCAAATAACCAACAACGTATATGTAAAGACAGTTTAAACGATTATATGATTATATGCAATAAGAAAGCTATACTTACTAGAAATAGAATACAATAAAACTCAACCCATTTAATACTAAGTAATTATAATTACCAATTTACCACCCCCAACTTAAACTATATGAAATTGGAAGTTATTTTTTATTAATAAACATAAATTGTGGACAAGATATAAAAACCCCATACTACCTTAAGCCAAAAGCTCCAAACATAGATCTCTAGAGTAGCCCCACCCTCACTTGCACCCACCAGCCAACCCCATTAATCCCTTTTCACCCATAACTCCTATCTCCCTCATACTCCATGTGCTTTCTCCTTTTTTTTTCTCAATGAATCCTTATCTTAACAATAAACGCCTAAATTTTCATAGATTAATGTCTTGGTTTAAATCTGGATGTCACATCTATGATCCGTTGTATTGATTGTATATAAAAGCTATACAATAGCTTTTTTTTAAAAATTTTAAAAGCTTATTTGACTCATTAAACTCTTAAAAAGCTCCTTTTGGATGGCATTTTCCATTTTTCTTCCATTCATTTTTCTTTAATTTTTATTGGTTTCCTTTCTATTTTATCTTTTATAGAAAAAGAAAATAGAACAAGCATATAATGTCAAATTAAATAATACAAACCCCACATCACCCACCTACTATACTTTGTATGGTTACTTTCTTCACTTTTCCATACGGAAACCATATATAGAGCCTTTAAATTATTTTTTATAAAATAAAATTTATATCAACATGATCTTAGCATCAAATTATGAAAACAAACAATACATTATGCCGATTTTAACATAACAACACATAAAATAAAACCGTATATATTATAAAATCTTTTATCCAAATTAGTCATCATTTCCTTTCTACAAAATCCAAGAGTCAAAAGCCAATATTGTCTAGTAATCATCGCTTGGGATTACGAGATTTACAAGATACGAAACTTGGATCTTGCTAAACTCATCATAACCCCCTCTCCCCATAAAAATAATATAATATATGAAATAAATAAATTATTGAGTTCTTTACAAAAAAACAACTCACCAAATCATAGTCGATATATGTTCTTTGACGTATGTCCATTTATTAATCCATATTCAATATCATGATTCATGGTTAGCTAGTCACCCAAATCATACGTAATTCGATTAAAACATGTAAAAAAAATACTTTCCAATAAAGTTAGAAGAATTAATCGATATATAGTTAAAAGAATATGAATATGTACCATCGTGAGTGGGAGATGCGTCGTGATTGTGAAGTTGTTTCTTGGTTTTCCGATGAATCAAAGAATCGATGGCAAACATAATGCGAGGCTTTGAGGACTTGCAGCTGCTACTTCTGTAAAGATGCAGCCGACGGCATCGTTTTGTGGCTACTACAATAAGCCTCTCGTATAAGCATAAAGGACAAACTCCCACGAAAACTTCATCGGGATGGAAGTAACAGCAACCTTCGTCTTTATCCATATGCCTTCTTTTTGAGAAAACACACACAGACACACACACGAAGATGGGTGAAGATGGAAATGGATTATGGATCTCTTTATATTATGTGTTTTATGTTATATAAAAAAAGAAAAAGGAAAGGGGAAAGGTGTCATTAGTATTGGGAAAAGTGACGTATATATATGCCTCAAGTTTTGCAAGATATGTATTACTTTTTTACTTAGAAGGCAAGTTTAAATCATGTGCATATGTGTACATGTTTACCCAAGGGTTTCAAGTTTAGACTCGTATCTACCCTGATAAATAAAAATGGTTTTGCCACTTGTCCTCTTCTTATTAAATATGCCACATGTCATTTTCTTATAATTTAAGTTTTCTTTTCACATTGTTTAGAAAAAATTACACATCAGATTTCATAATAATAGTAAATATGATGTTTAAGGCCTTTAATAAGGAAAGTCTGGCAAAGTATATTCCTAATTTATGGCAATTAAATTATGGGAATGATTAGGATAATTTTATATAATTTTAAGTTAACTTTTTAAAAATTAGATGATTTGCCGGAAAATAAACCAGAAATAATTTGATGAACCTTTAAAATTGAATTACAAATCATCCATGCAAACAAATTTTAAACTTATATTGATCCTAATTTAAAAGTCAAATCCTCAAGATCTTGGCAATTTTGAATGACTTTCCATCAGTTTGCATGAATTGAGGAAAGGGTGAGGCTTATTTCAAATTTCGAATTGCAAATTCACCTTCACTTTCGGTCAAAATTATTGTCGGATTTTTCTCTCGAAGGTTCTAACAATAGACACTCCATCTTCAATGCCCTTTATCCTTTCGTCGAACATTGGCTCATTAGTGAATAATGCATGTAATGCTTTCTTTCCCATCTTTTTGTTTTCTGAGTTTTCTGAATAATACATGTAATCTTCATTATGAAATTTTTATACATGCCTTATTGTATGGCTATGCCTCTCACGCCTCTTTTATATTGAATTTCTTCCTTTTTTTTTGTTGTGGGGGGTATTTTGATTTTGTGTTTGATTTTTTATTTTAAGTTCTGCGTTCACGAGAAGCATCTCGATTTTTGATTTTTCTTTCTCTGGTTTTTACCTATCCATTGATTTGTCGGTTCTGTGTCATAGGAGCGACAATGATCCCCATAAATTTCTTGTTTGGTTTTTTAGTTTTTGGCATTGTTAGACTACATCAAGTGCGGTTGATTCCTCACAAATCTTCATACCAAAATTCGGTTTAGATTTTAGTTTATCTTCATACCTTGAAACTTCTTCAATTAATTCAACAGAAGTTAGTTACCTGAATCTACTTAATCTTTGTTTGTTTGGGAATTCATCATGGATCATGTGATTGGTGGGAAGTTCAAGCTTGGAAGAAAGATTGGTACCAGATCTTTTGAGAGCTTTATTTGGATAATTTTTTCCTTCACATCATAGCCTTTTTGTTTTTATTGTTCTTATGTAATAGTTTTGTTGCATTTGTGAGTGATTTCTTTTTCATTTTAGGAGTAAATGTTCATAGTGGAGTAGAAAATGCTGTAAAGCTGGTATATATCTAGGATTTTACATTTATTAGGTTGTAGAACATTTTTATACCAATTCACACATATATATTTTGTTTATGTTTTCAAAAATCTTTAAAACTAAGCGCCCTAAGTTTCACTATGAGGCCAAATTCTACATGCTTCTTCAAGGAGGAAGTGAGTTTTATATATTTCCGTTTTATCTCTCTTTTCTTTTTCTCTTAACATCCATTTGAAAAAATAAATGTAATATACCATTTTGTGGATATCACACAATGTATTTTAATCAAATTTCTAAATTAACAATTATATAAATTATATAAATGTCATCTTTAAGATTTACAAAGTGTTGTATATAAAAAATGCTTAATATTTAGATTTTTATATTTAATTGTTTTAATCAATCTGTGTAGTACACGGGTCTCACAACTAGTACAATATATATATAATATATATATTATATAGATATATATATATATATATATATATATATATATATATATATATATATCTATATATATATATATATATCTATATATATATATAGGTGTTGTAAGTTCCCGCAAAATTTGAGAGCTTTAGATTTTTTAATTGGTTAAAAATTTGTTTTACATTATTCCCTTCACTGTGATGTCATGTCACAAGAATGTGTGAGTTCTGCGGGTTACTGAACTTGTCCAACCCTCTAAGTTTATGCATCACTTAGTTGTAACATGTGCTTGTATTCTTGTATTAAAATGTATAGGTTGAAAGGGATGAATTTCCAAGTGTTTAGGGATGAAAAGTTAAAACTAATAGAAGATAGAAATCTACCACTTTAATAAAGAAAACAAAAAAAATGACACGTCTCTTTTCTAGTAAGCTTATATGGTATTTTTCTATGTTTTCTTCTATTTTTGGTACATATCAACTTTGATTTAAAATTTTAAACAACTAAATCCTATCCCAAAAACATAATATTTTGGAAATTATTGAAGACTATCTTTTAGAAATACTAGAAAATCTCTTGATTATAACGTATCCCAACAATTCAGGGATATATTATTCAATTTACCTTATTTACTTGATCATCCGTTTAATTTTCATATCATATACATCACATGTTTTTTACTATTTTTTAATATATAAAATTTTTAAATATACCAACGGTAGTTTCCACAGGTTAAAACCTATTACTCATATATGGTTGTATATATCATTAAAAGGGGTACGAAAGAAGAGCTCTCTCCACCCTCATATCACATATCATAAGGTAATTGGTTACTATTCAATTGTTTCATATATTTATCTGTGACATCCCTAAAATCACGGCCAGAAAAGACCGGTTTCATTTATGCTTTTAAATAAAATTAGAGTAATCCTTTGATTTAAAAGAGTTGCGGAATTTGTTCCCAAAACAAAATATGATAAGAATTTATCAAAGCATTTCATAAAGAAATGTATTTTTCATTATATAACAAAATTTCGGGATGTCATGTTCCGATACAGACCAAACGCATAAACAATACAAAATAGACCTTGCAACAATTACATATAACAACAGGTCTATAATCCAAAAATATCTTGACAATGTCATCCAACTTATGCCCTTGCGCCACTACATGTAATACAAAGAAACTGAGTGGGTCAGGCTTGGGAGCCTGGTGAGCATATAAGGTTTTCGACCCACAATAAATAATTATATTTAATTTCACCAACCAACAATAACCCGATTACCCATTCCCGTTATCCTCACTTTATGTCCCTAAAACAACAACTATTACAAGGGACCTAATCTAGGATTTTCATCGGGACGGACATTACTGCAAAGGGGCTTCCTTAGCAATAGATGTCCTAAAGGTTATGAGAGGGATAGAGTACACCGGTGAACACATCGTTCACAACACCTACAGGTTATGAGCCTGCTAGTGTTCCACTGGACCGTCTAGAAAGAGTCTGTGATCGTCATCCATACTCCGCTAGATGACTAGATCAACAACATCGAGGCCTCTCATCATTTTATTTCATCACACACCAACTGTCTACCCATGTTCTACCCAACATATTAGTAGATAAAATATATACATTTATATACAGCTTAAAACCTGTACAAAACATCCATTCAACAACTAGTTCAAATAAGCAAATAATATATAAACACAAAGCACGTATTTTATAAAGAATACTTCATATCTATGTGTTAGAAGAAAACGAATATACACTCACTTGATAAGACAATGATCGGACAGCACCTCGTTTCTTAAAATAAACTTTCCCGATAAAACCGGGATGTTTTCCTTGAAAACCGGGCTTCTCGCGGGCAGAGTTTCGGCTCGAAAACTTTACTTCTCGGGATCTTCGAGGCTTCGGAACTTGCTTCGGGGCTCGGGAATGATATCGGGGCTTCGGGATAATTCTGGCATGAAAAACGAGACAAACGAGAGAGAGAGAGAGAAGAGAAAAAGAGCAAAAAGATCGGCTGCCCTCGCATCCTTTATATAGGGGCAGAAGCCTCGCATTACGCTGGGCGTAATGCTCAGTACGCGGGGCGTACGCTTCGGAAATCGTCACTGCATGCGTCATCGGAGCACTCGAGTGCGAGGCGGGTCACGCTTCGGTGTACGCTGGGCGTACTTAACCCTACGTTGGGCGTAGTTCGGATAGGGTCAGCAACTCCTTCGGATAAGCTTTGGTATGCGTGCCATGATCTTCAAAAATTCATAACTTTCGCATACGAGCTCCGTTTTCGACGTTCTTTATATCCACGCGTAGGTGAGATTATGCTCTACAACTTTCATTTAGACTCCGTCGGCTAATTTTGACTTTATTTTTATTATATTATTTTTAGTAGGCCGGGACAGGAAAACTCCGTTATAAATTCATAACTTCTTCATCCGACGTCCGTTTTCGTCTGTCTTTTCACCGTTGCACTACTAATGACGAGATATTCGATTCTCGTTTAGATTGTTTTGGCTAAAAAATCACTAGATATCAAAATCGAACTTCAGGCTGCATACTGCTAAGTCGAAACTTAGAAAAATCACAACTTCCTCATACGAAGTCAGATTTAGACGTTCTTTTTATGCACGCTCTCGGTTTAACGTTTTCTATGACTTTCGTTTAGATCGCTAAGACTAAAAACCGCTTTATCGTAAATTCACTATTTACGCTTCCCGGTATCGTGCCGGTTCGGTCGTGAAACTTCGACGGGTCATAACTTCTTCGTTATAACTCGGATTTCGGCGTTCTTTATATCTCCGGAATCCTTGTTTCGACCACTACAACTTTATGTAAAGATATCGGGCTTGTCTCATATTTTAATTTTGTCGCTTATTTTTAATTATACATTTGTAATTAAATATTAAGCATATAAATTCACATAATTCACAAAATATTCAAATATTTCATCTTTACTACTTCAAAAAGAGTTACAATAGTTGACCTAGATTATTACATCGTCTAAAATGCTTAGCCCCGAAATCCGGGCGTTACCTTATCCTAAAATGATATATGGTTGTATATTTTGTCCAAAAACTATTTTATTGGGTAATTTAAGAACAAATTAAATATTGGTTCCTATAGAAACATTTTACCCTTTTTCCGTGGATGTAGTT